CAGGCGCCACCGAGCCCTCTGACCACCACCAGTAGGCAACGGGTGAAGAGTCTTGCCCAAGGACACAACGACCGAGACTGTCCAAGCCGGGGCTCGAACCAGCAACCTTCCGATTACAAGGAATTAAAATCCATTTTACACATGTAATCCCTGATTAAATAGAATATTGCATTTTTTATGCACTGAGTGCAGAAGTTTTCTTTTCTTTAATAAAATGTATGGAGAGGTCAAATAAACAAACCACTAAAAACCACCAGAAACAAAAAAAAAGTCCTCTGTTAAACTGCAGGAAGTAGCACACGTGCATTTTAAGGAAAGACTGCGTCGATCAGAGTTTTTGATGCACCGTCCCTCCCTCGGCTCAAATACCAACATGGAACATCACCCAAACAGTGATTAAATATTTGTAAGCTCCCGCAGTAAAACAGAGGCTTAATGACAGCTAATTAAATCTAAAGCTGTTAATGACGAGGCTTAGCTACCAGAGCTGATCTGGATGCCTCAGGAAGACAGAATAAAGGAATCAACTGAGTAACTCCTCTCTCTCAAAGGCGCCCCTTCACTTTCAGCATCCCTCTCTATCCCCCTTCTGCTACGGTCCTTCCCTCTAATCGTACTCCTTCTCTTTTGCGATTTTCCTTAATTGCAGCGCTGGAGATTCTCTCGCTCCTGTCTTTCAATTCTGCTGAAAGGAAAGATTCTTGTTGCTTTCCCCCCCTGTTTTCCTGGCACAGGCACGCATGGTTTATTTGAAGAGCCCTGTAGTGTTTTAGCTGAGAGGTTGAGGAATGTCCAAGTGTTGATACAGCTCTCTGAACGGGCCCTGAGCTCAGCGATGAACTCGAGGTCGGTTTGGTTCCATAAAGACATTACTGCTTCGTCAGCAAATCAGAGGTGACCCCGGCAGACAAACAAAACGAGCGAGCACGGAGTGGCGGCAGCGTTCCTCTGGTGATCTGTGGCACAGCTAGCCCGGGGAAGGACGACCTTTACTTTGCGACCACCGACTGGTAACCTTTGTGTGTGTCGTTTTAATTAAGCGGCTCTATTACACTGGATGCAATCTCCGATACCGACGAAACGATAATCGTAATGAGGTCGGCAACAAAGTCACAGTTCACTGAACTTAATAGATCATTTGAAAGGGGGGGAGGGAGGAGCTGGGTGCCATTTTGGCTCAAGGGTGACCACGCCGTGTCTGGAGTGACTTTGACGGGTGGCTTTGCGTCGTCACCACGGCTGAAGAATTATCATTTGGTTTTCTGATTAGCAAACTTCCCTCCAGCACTCACGCCGCTGCAGAGATCAGCTGAGCGGAACAATTAATAAGTGTGCATTTCATGGAGAATAAACGTTGGACGGAACGGGAGCGGCGGTAGCGATTTAAAGCCTAATTA